ATATAGCCAAGAACATGCAGGGTCAGAAAAATGTCAGGGTCAGAGAAAATCTTAAGATGTGTTGCCTCATGTCTATTCTAGAGAAATCTCACTTCTGCATCTTTGGCTAAATAAACAAGGTATTTATACCAGGTCTCTGTGTGTGCTAATCCATGACTTAACTGGAATCCTGTGAAATTGCAATGAGTTCTATGTGCATTAAATCATTTAAAAATAGTCATTTTTTAAAAGGGTTTGCAACGTGAAATAACTTTAGCATTCTGATTTATTTTACATGTTTTGCATCAAGTAATTCTCATCCTCCAAATTGAATGAATTATATTCTGATAGCTAAATCATTAAATTCTTAACTAGGATGTTTTTATTTCCAAAAATGAATACCATGATGGATTATGACTGGTGTTTCATATGTGCCTGCTATTGCAAGATAAATTGTTTGGCTGGTCTATGAACATCCACAACTTGTTCACCACAATGTCTTCATCTAATAACTTGGGGTGAAGGGGGGGTGCTTCAGGTATTTCAAGGTCCAGTGATTGTTAACTGTTAGGAATTTTCTCTTCATCTCTCAAAATGGTTGCAATTAAACTACGTTCATACTTGTGGTTGTATGCTTTTTTATGCTTCTTACCTTTCTTATTGAAGTTGTACATTTTAAAAACATATTTTTGCCCTAAAAATGTCATCTATAAATATCTATCTTTTAGTAAACAGTGAATTTACACAATACACAAGCTTTGATGTAGCATTCTATTGATGAGTCTTACTAAAGTGCTTAAAACGATTTTTTATTCTTCTGATTTCCTGCAGATGCATATACAACCTCAGAGGTCACTTATATTTGGACTTACAATGCATCTGATTCAGTACAAGTTGCTCCTGATGGCTCCAGGTTAAATCAATATGATCTGCTGGGCCAATCAATTGGAAAGGAGACAATTAAATCTAGTACAGGTTAGTAAAAGGAATCTAAAGAAAGGCCAGTTCCTAAGAAAGCTAATGGATCGATGTCCTTTGTAATCTTCTAGATTGCCTAAAATCTTATGCTTTTGTGGTCAAAGAACCAGAAGCATAGATTTTATCTGTTGCTCTTTAGAATTTCAGAAATTCAGGTTCTACCCTTTAATGAATCAGGAGCCTCATTTTAACAAGATTCATAGGAGACTCATAGGCATATTGAAGCTTGGAAAACACAGGCTAAAAGATACTAATTATTCGAAAAGTGTATGTTTTCTCATATAGGTTAGTTGAAACATTTACCTTCCAGTAAGTATACAGTTTCCCTAGTTTTCTAATTATCCACCCCTGTTCTGAATAATTTCTGATTATGCAATCCTTGATTTATGGATAATTACAGCTGCCTGTGTGGAAAAGCTGATGCCCTCTCGAAGGGCCACCCTCATCTAAGAAAAACAGCTGTGTAGAATAATTATCTTACATCTGGCAATAATTAAAACTCATAAAGCAGAAAGGAAGCTAGCTATGATGATCAGATAGAACTGATGGAAGTGAATTACAACAGACAGAACCGTGAAAAATGCATAGTTGGTGACAGAGTTAAAGGTAGGAAATCTGTGATCGGAGATCAGTATTTGTTAGATATAGCCAGTTATAAATAGAATTTTATGCCACAAAAATATAACTTGTAAACCCTAACCATATTCCTGTGGATGTACTCCCATTTGGAGATTTGAGATATCTTTGTTATGCTTATGAACTATGTCAGTATAGAGTTTGTCTTAAACCAGTCACTTCTACCATATAAAAAAGAGTAGATTAGGCACAGAAGTAAGGCAGTATAAATAAAGATTGATACCATATGGATATATCACCAAGGAACATCAATTGAAAGAGACAAGGAGTCTTCTTTAGAGCTAACAG